CGTTGTGCTCGGCATTAAAGCTGGTTTTATATTTTAAAACTAACCTTATATCACTTTTGGGGGTTCCCCTATACACTGAAAAAAGTGTTGCATGCAGAGCTGTTGCAAACAATTTATTTGTGTTGAATTTAAACAAACAAATTTAAATGAATAATGTTCAACTTAATTTGTTTGTTTAAATTCAGCTCAGATAAATTGTTTACAACCACTGAACGTAAAAAATGTAGTAAATCCAAGGAATCATCTTTGAATAATTTTGTTCCGTGTAGGTTTTTGTTGTGGTCTATATTATTTGCAGCCTGTTTCTGTAATTGCATGTATTTTGCGCATTTGTGTATGTGTAAGTTGTCAAATTAGCTTAGCATAGATAAATGAATCATATTAGACCATTAGCATCTCGCTCAAAAATGACTAGAAATCAAGCAGTAGAGCAATTTAGTGCTCGGCTGAGTCATTATATGTTAATAACTAACCTTACATCACTATTTTGGGGTTCCCCTATAGACGTTTTTTTGTAGTCTATACTATTTGCAGCCTGTTTCTGTATTTGCATGTATTGTGCACATTTATGTGTGTAAAATTTGTCAGTTTAGCTTTGCATAGATGACTGAATCATAGTAGACCATTAGCATCTTACCTAAAAATGACTTAAGATCAAGCAGCCCTCCTGAAAAAAAACTGCTTAAACCAGCCTAGGCTGGTTGGCTGGTTTTAGCTGGTCGACCAGGCTGGTTCTAGAGGGGTTTTGGCCATTTCCAGGTTTGTTTCCAGCCATTTCCAGCCTGGTATTAGCTGGTCAGGCTGGGAGATGACCAGCTAGAACCAGCTTGACCAGCCTAGCCAGGCTGGGAGCCCAGCCAAAACCACCTATGTCCACCTTAAACCAGGCTGGTCAAGTTGGTTTTAGCTGGATTTAGCTGGTCATTTTTCAGCCTGACCAGCTAAGACCAGGCTGAAATGGCCAAAACCCCTCTAAAACCAACCTGGTTGACCAGCTAAAACCGGCCAACCAGCCTAGGCTGGTTTAAGCTGGATTTTTCAGCAGGGAGAAGAGCAATTTTGTGCTTGGCTAAATCATTAAAGCTGGTTGTATGTTTTTAAACTAACCTTATATCCCTTTTTTGGAGGCACCCCTACATTTTTGTGGTAATATATACTATTTGCTGCCTTTTTCTATATTTGCATGTATTGTGCACATTTGTGTGTGAGTAGTTTGTCAAATTAGCTTATCGTGGATAATTAAATCATATCAGACCATTCGCATCTTACCTAAAAACGATTAGAGATCAAGCAAAAGAGTTATTTTTGTGCTCGGCTGAGTCATTAAAGTTGGTTTAATGTTTATAACTAACCTTATATCACTTTTTTGGGGTTCCTCTATAGATTTTTGCTGTGGTCTACAGTATTTGCAGCCTGTTTTTGCATGTACTGTGCGAATTTGTGTGCGTATAATTTGTCAAATTAGCTTAGCATAGATAATTGAATCATATTAGAACATTAGCATCTTACAAATTACTAGAGATGTAGAAGAAATTTGATTTTGAGCTTGGCTGAGACTTTAAAGTTGGTTTTGTGTTTTAAATTCGACTTTATTTCATGTTTTTGGGTTCCCCTATACATTTCTGTTGTGATATATACATTTTTCAGCCTGTTTCTATATTTGCATGTAGTGTGCGTATGTTGTGTGTGTGTGTAATTTGTCAAATTAGCTTAGCATAGATGATTGAATCATATTAGACCATTAGCATCTCGCTCAAAAATAACCAAAGATTCAAAAATGTAACTTTGTAAAGCTTCCCTCCTCTGAAAATAGTCCCTAGCAACAAGCCCAAGACTTGCGCCACCAGTTAAAATCCATGTAAAATCATTACACTGGTGAGACAGGGATTTTCCTTGATTATTACGCCAGAATGAGAGTATAGTTCCTAGCCATATCGACCTAGAAAATAGCAACTTTTAATTTCTTGTTGATCATAGCACCACAATGTAACAACAGAACAGTCATGCTTTAAATAGAAACACTTTCTGAGTGAGATGCTAATGGTTTAATCCAAATCAATGATCTATGCTAAGCTAAGCTAATAGATTAAAAAATGGTCAAACTCAACTGTTTAACTCTGGGGGACTTAAATTAGCCTGCAAAAAAGTGGTGTTCTTTTAAGTCAGACAGATTTGTTTTACCTGAGGCCAAGGGTCATGTCTTAGAGGGAGGGTATTTCTGGTTTTCGCCCCTGTCATTGGCCGCTCTGTTACCTGAGGCCAGGTGTAACACTCCTGACACGTCCAGTCCTGCATCCTCGGGTATCAACATGTCACGCCAAACACAACAAGCACTCAAAGCTAACATTAAAGCCATTGTTCAGGTTAGCAGGCGGTTGACATGTCTTTAACACAACTCCCATTCCTGACAGGCTGAAGCGTGGAATTCAGAAAGAGATCAGCTCTGATTGGGATGCAGCCATGCACAAATATGAGATGCTACTTGAGTGGTTACATAATTTGTTTTGAATCTCTACAGTAATATGAAAGTTTCCATTCATTCTTGTGTTTATATCATACACCTTACTGTGTGTGTTTCAGTGACATAGTACTATGGTAATACTGTATTATTCTGGGTGTGATACCAAGATAAGATGTTCTTTTTTTTTTATTTATCATGTATCACAATGTTTTTGTTGTATTTTAACGGGTATATCACCAAGGTGACATGTTCTTTATGAGTACTGGGACATTTTTTGGACATTAAAATCACAAAAATGTCCATAAAATTATATATATATATATATAAAAAAAAAAAAAAAAAAAAAAAAAAAAATATATATATATATATATATATATATATATATATATATATATATATATATATATATATATATATATATATATATCAGAGATGATGTGATGTTTTTATTACTGCTTTCTTTATTATTCTTTTTTTTAATTTAGAATTAGTAAATAAGAATTACAGAAAAACAGTAGTTCCAAATAGAGATCTGCACGGGACTAAATTTTGAATCCTGCTCCCGCCAGGTTTTAGCTCGAACCCGACCGCTCCCGGTTATATTCAGCATTTGCTGTCCCGCTGCCCGACCCGCCACATTTTCTACCCGCCGCACCCGTTCCCGCTAACAAGCGGGGGGAGAACAAAACCTAAAACCACCCAGCTATTCACCTTATTCTCCGCCGACGAATCTTTTCTGTTTTTGAATCTTTTTGGCTGGAGACTTCAGGTCTCGTTCACTTCCATTCATATTTTGACGTTATAAACTGCTCGTTACGCTGCTTGATGTTGCAATTTGATATTTTATTATTTTATTATTCTATTTGGTCTGTACTGTGCAAACATTTGTATGTAGAGCAAGTAGTTTGACCATTTTCTGCCGTTTATTATTCCTATATAGTCATTTCACCCATAGGCGACTTAATCGGAAGTTCTAAAACAATCGCGAAAACAGGCGCACTTCTGCATTTTAGAATAAGGTCAATACAGAGTCCAGACAGCCTAACACACACACACACACAGCACAAAGCTCTCTCTCATTCGTGCTCACACACACACCTCTTAATCGCGAGCACACACGCTGTCTTATTCACACACGTACTGTACATACGCATGCTCGCTCGCTCAGGAGTCGGGAGCGATACTGTTAGACTGCTCGCTCCCATCCAAAATTAAACCAGTTACCGACCGCTCCTGCGCTTTATTCAGAAATATATTCCCGCGCCGCAGAAAAATGCAGACCTCTAGTTCCAAAGATTGAAAGATAGGCTAATTGAAAAAGAAGAAAAAGAAATGGAAGATGCCAACTACAGATTCTTAATAACTTACAATAGATATAGCTTTTACATTTTTCACAGCTTCCTTAAAACACCTAACTCATTATCACAAATGTGACTTGAAATTCATATAGTGTCAAATGTTATTGACCCCAGGGTGGCGGTATGACCCCACTATTGACCCCACTATGTGGCGGTATGACGCCTTTCCTGTTGGCGCTTACCAGCTGACTTCTTACCTTCGTGTGGAGGGCTTTCCCACCACAACCAGTTTGTCCAGTTAGCTTGTTGTGTACTTCGGCAGACTTGAGACGCTGAGAGGAGTTGACCACGATGACTGGGCTCGAGTTGTGGGAAGAGCGCTTCCAGAAATCATGGAAGACAAAAACAGATTCCAAAAAAAAAATAAAATGAACGAGTGAACAACGGGGTGAGAATGTGGTAAAATCCAAAAACATGGTAAAAAACAGACGAAGGGTTTTCTTTTTTCTGGACGACTTTTGTAAACTGTCGGTTGGGTTCAGGGAAGTAAGTGGGTGGGCGCGTCAATCTGTAAAATTGGTTGGGTTTAGGGAAGAAGGAGGGTGGGTCAGTCGATTGGCCGGTCGCCCAGTCAATCATTCAGGCATTCAGTCGGTCGTCAGCGGTCTCTGGTGCGTTTACATGGGAACAGCGCAATCGCAAACAGCACTCGCGAGAGACATTTGAGATACAAAAAAATCGTACATAGTGGCCTCTAGCGGATTCCCAAGAACAAAAACTGCAAAAATACATACCTCCTGATACCTATTTCACGATCTCCAGAAACTTCGACGAGACTGCGTTTTAAGAATGCGCCTGGGTTGTATTTGGTTAATTCCAGGTTGTGTTGGAAAGTGACCAAAATCCAAAGTCGAGCCAACATCTTATCCAACGTCATATTGATGTCAAATACTGACAGGTATGGCAACCCAAATCTAACATCTGATAGACGTCATAGTGGTAACGTTCCCACAACGTCAAGCTGTAACATCATTAGACATTGATAATTGGTTGATTTTACTTGGACATTGATGTGAACCTGACGTTGGGTTCTGACATCAACCCATTGTTATTTCCTAATAAAATTCAATTGAGTTACAATGTCAATCTGACATCACGTTGACGTCCTGTGCCTGCTGGGATATTAGAAGTTGATGTTTATGAAAGTGCAGTATGTAAAGTCTTGCATCTTGTGTTAACAGGTGTGCATCCGTCCAGGTGTGTGTTTTTGCTCCGGGCCATTGATACACTGACCCCGTCCTGTCTGCAGGTCAATTACTGACTGTTCTGCTCCGTCAGACCGTTGTTCCACACCTCCATACCTAAACCAGACGTCCCACCACAGAGTAAACATCTGCTCTACTTCTCTTAGGAAAACACGGATCATTTAGAGACAACAGACAGCTTTTTTTTTGCAGATTCTGAGTCATACATGACTGTTCCTGGGATTGTTTATCACCTCTACATGTGAAATTCCTTCAAAATAAGGCAAACTAAGCAATATGGATACAGCATCCTTGAACACCTCGCTGTTCTCCGGCAGCATGAGTACGGATTCTCCCAATTTGTCCACGAGATCCATGGGCTTCACTACTGACACGGATTCATCCCGCAGCAGCACACTCTTACACTGCAATCATTTCTTGGCAGCCAACTACATCAGTGTGGGTGAGTCACATACGCTTTTTATTCTGTATATTACAGTTCAAATACAGGTTTATCATAAAATATAGAAGAACGTTTGTCAGTATAACGTGAAACAGGATTTAAAAAATATTTTGTACATTTTTTATACAGCGGTTTATACATAAACAGGTTTATGGTGGACATTAGCATGCATCAACTAAATAATAACTAAGAAATCACACTTTTTTTTCCCTTTGTTTATTTAGCATCTAACGGTACATTTACACTAATGTATAACAGAAAACCTTTTCTAGCTAGAGGTGTGGCAAAAAATATTGGAGAGGTCAATTCTGCATTGATTCTAATTGTTTAAAATGCTGCGATATTCTCGCTTGAATTGATTCTGAGCCTAGCATTGAACAGCAGATGGAGCTCTATTGGCTTGTTTATAACTGTACATTCAAATGCTCAAGATGAAGAGTGACTGTGTGCTCGGCTGAGTCAGTAAAGTTGGTTTTATCTTTTAAATCCAACTTTATGTCACTTTTTTTGGGGAGTCCCTACACATTTCTGTTTCTGTAAAAATGTTTCTGTATTTGCACGTATTGTGCAAATTTGTCTCTGCGTAATTTGTCAAATGGATGAAGATGTTTTCTCAGTATAAGTGTTTTTTTGCATGTGTTTTCTTAACTTGCAGCACGTTTGAGCTTTTTCAGCCACCGTAGGCATGTCTGGATTGTTTAAAAAAATCATTCATTCATTCATTCTGTGGAAATATAAATTTATATCATCTAATTTCAAATGAACAATAATCTACGTATAACTAAAAAGTTATATTCTCTGGTTTTTAATTATATTATTTCATTGACATGCCAGCTAGGAGGGTCATTTAACCCAGGGGTTCCCAAACTTTTCAGCTCGCGACCCCCAAAATAACAATGCCAGTAACTTGCAACCCCTAATATCCTCTGAGGTGGTTATAAATACAGAAACCTTGCATGCAATGGGGCGCACACACACCAATAAACCCAAGTCTATTCTTCGTTATATTTTTTTAATGTATGTCAGTGCTGTAAATGTGCCAGAAAGTTTAAACTGGTATTATAAAATCAATCTGCTGCATCTGACGCTATTGCTGAGTCTTTAATATAATGTAATTACCTGAGGGGTCGCAATCCAATAGAACTAGTAACTATAAGCTACTTTAGTAACTATATACAGTAGTGTATATAGTAACTGTAAACGACTACTTTTTTAGTAGGTCATGGATTAAAATGGTAATTATTATGGTTTAATAAAAATAAATAGATTTTTGGAAATCACCAGGCGACCCCCCCCTTCATTGTCCCGCGCCCCCTCGGGGGGTCCCGACCCCCACTTTGAGAACCACTGATTTAACCTTTGCCTTGCTGACTACAGGCTAAGCCAAAGTGATGCAATTATCAGTTTCACAGCATGGGGTGTCTATTGTTTTCTCTTTTCAATCAACTGGTCAGTCGGTTTCTGTCTCCAGAACATGATGAGATCAAGGCCTGAAAGAGCAGTTTACCCTGCCGACCACAACTCTTAATTTGCATGCTTTGTTTAGCCAAATCCCCTCCTCATAAGAACACAATATAGACATGAAATCTTTGTCTTAAATCAGACTTGTGTGAGACTTGTGTGAGACTCGTGAAAGAACTTGCAGACTGCAGACCTCTAGTAGGCTCTTGCAAACACATGGACATCTTAAAGACGCTGTATGACTGCAGATTAACCAACACGTCTCAATAAAGGAATTCTGCTTGTTTCGAGTCTCCTGGACTGGGTTCTCTCTTCTTTTCACTCATTTATTTTTTTACAACAATTAATTAATTAATTAATTAATTCATTCATTCAGTTAGTTAGTTAGTTAGTTAGTTAGTTAGTTAGTTAGTTAGTTAGGCCCAATCCCAATTCTACCCCTTAGCCCTTACCCTTACTCCTACCCCTTGTTGTGCACGTTCCTGTGAAGGGGTAGGGGTGTCTCAATTCTCTTTAGCTTGAAGGCATATGGCTAAGGAGAAGGAGTAAATAGCTCTTCGAACGAGGACCACACTCGAAACCAAGAGGTAAAAAATTTTCCAAGAATACACCAGCCACAACGGCAGGATAGCTGCATCCGGAAGTAAGGAGATCCACAAATTAGTATTCTTGTCATTATTACCAATTTTTACAACAAACAAACACGTTTTAATACATTCATAACCACGTTCATGTTGTCATGCTTTTTAAAATAATGCTAAAATAAAAACCTCTACATTTTGCTTTCTATAATTCATAATAATAACTCCTGTATAGCAGTCCCACAACATTCTGACACTCGATGACACTCCAATACCCTGTTGGAAAAGTCTTATGGCTGGGAATGGGCTTTTTACAGTGTCTGCTATGATGTTAATGTTGTTTTTTGTGTGTTTACATTAATGAATATGGCCACAGTGTTAAATGCACAGTATAGTTACGATCTTATTACCACATTAGATCATTATGATAACATTATATATGCCTTCAGTGTTTTTCTGAAGATAAATACCAAAAAATGACGCAACTGGAATCACTACAGCAGTCGCGATCGTCTGATCTCATATAAAGCAAGAGATCTCGATGACATATGTTGATGTTTGCAGGCGCTGTAGTGCTGTCTCATTTCTTAGGGGTAAATTTTGAAGCCCTTCCCCTTCACACTCGGTTTTAAGGGCCAAGGGGTAGGGGTACAAAAATAGAGTTGGGATTGGGCCTAAATGTAGATTCCTGTACTATCACAGACTTGGTGTTTTCTTTGCTCTTGATGTTATGAATTTTTGTTATGAATGATCACTTTCCAGACCAAAGCATATTGCGGAGTTGTTTAGATTCAATTTGTGGTTTTTGCGTTCTGTATTATTTGCATCTGAAGTCAACTGTACATCCAGATAATACACGTTTTTGTTGTGGTCTATACTTTTTGCAGCCTGTTTCTGTATTTGCATGTATTGTGCGAATTCGTGTGTGTGTAATTTGTCTATTGAATGATGTTTTCTCAGTATTAGTGTTTTTTTTGCATGTCTTTTCTTCATTTGCAGCATGTTTGAGCTTTCTCAGCCGTCATAGGAATGTCTGGATTGTTTAAACAAAGTGCAATAATTTAAGTAATTTGTTCGTTCATTCATTCGTTCGGTCGTTCAGTTAGTTAGTAAATGTACAATCCTGTAATATCGCAGAGTTGGTGTTTTCTTTGCTGTTGCTTTTATGATTTTTTGTGCAACTGATCACTTTCAAGATCCAAGCATATTTTGTAGTTGTTTAGAGTCTATTTTTGGTATTTGTGGTTGATTTACGTTCCTCAAAGAGCCCCTATTATAGGTTTTTGCAAATGAGCTTCAATGCAGTGTGTAAAGGGATTATGTCTCATTAAGATTGTATTTCTTACCCCATTGGCAAATAATTTAGCTTGTTTTAACCTCACAATCTCATCTCCGTGATGTCAATGACTTTCCCTTGAAGATTTAAAGGGCTAGCACTGCACCAGACCCCCTTATGTGGTTTCGTTTGAAAGTGTGGAAGCTATATTTTATGCACGTATGCATCACTTTGGTTTTTATTCTACTGTACAGAAGTTATTTACACTTAAATACACAGTATTTTGGATATCCGAGCTGGGTATTGAAAATTGGTTCTTTTTCATATTTTTCATATGATTCATTTATGATACATGTACAAGTTATGGCTCAATTGAAAGCTCTAGCCGGTGCTCATACGGTTCTAGCATTCCTTTTACTGAATTATATTCACATATAAAACAGTTGTCAAATGAATCGCGGTGTTTGCATGGGGCAGAAGTGTAAACAATACATTTATGATCACTAAGCAGCCCCAGATAGCGCAGACAGCAGTCATCTCTTACCTTATGCTGTGCGCTTCAGGGCCATTCTCCTCTGTTTTTGAGGTGATGTGCATAAGTAATCCTTTTATATGTCTGACGTGGTCCAAACACAGTGAATTATGTTTGATCAAACAAAAGAATAGTGAAATATGAAAACATACGAAAACGTATAGCACCTCTAATCAGTTGGAATACTATAACTTTTGCATAGATTAAGGTAGAGACATTTTTTTCTTTGATTACAGACATGTGCAGGCACCACCAAAATTAATTACAGCAACCTAGACCACACAGAACCTGAAAGGTACACTTTCAAATTTGAGTATATATATATATATATAAAAAAAAGCGCCTCTTTTTTTTTAGGTGTTTATTATAACACAGACAACACATACAGTTATTTTAAACACTTTCAATAGTGTTTTATGGAAATTCAAAGGGTTTTCTTTAAAATGATATCAAACTGCATGTGGATTTGGGAAGCTTTTAAATTTGGGTAGGCGGAAATCCCAAATTAGCACTTGGGTTTAAACAATCACTTAATTTTAAGGGGTTTGTTTTTCTTCAGAAAACGAGACATAATTTCTTATGCTATTTCATCTGTCTAGTGTGTATCTTGATTTAAGATAAGTTAGTTTTTTATTTTATTATCATTAATAATTGGCAGATTAATCGATTATTAAAATGATCGTTTGTTGTAGCCCTAATTTAGAGTCTTGTTTTGGTATTGTGATTGATGTGTGCCCCATAATATTTGCAGCTAGAGCCAACAGTACATCCAGAGACTGTTAATCACACAGAATCCCTTTAATCCAAACACGTTGTACTCTCATTTTTTGACGCTGCCAAAGATGTCTTAAGAATCAGCATGTCATCGCATTAATGAATCACGCATTGTTCTCAGGGCTCTGGCAATATATAATGCCTGTCTCACATTGCAGCAGTCGGTTGATTGGGTGCGTCTGCCTCTTTCATGTATGTGAGGTTATCTCTCAGATCGCTATCTACAGCTTATCGCATAGTTCAGAGTCTAAATCAAATAAACAGCTGGTGTCGACAATCCTCCGACATTCGCTTTGCTTCTTTACCAATAAAGGTCTAGTGTTTTGTGGTTTGTGCAGAGCTCGAACAGCATTAAATAGTGATGACTGCATAATTG